GCCTTTCTCTCCCATGAAGCCCATTACATTTTGCGCTGCGCAACTTTGATCTCGCAGAACAGTCTCTTTATATTAAGTAATAAGGCATCATTTGGTTTGCATTTCATCCGTTCTTTATCACATTTACATTCAGGTAATTGCTTCCACATGCTCTTCAGTAAAAGAAAAATCCCGCTGCAGCTCAGGCATGTTTACATTTACGGATGAATAGAATATGTCAAGTGTCAACCCTTTATTTTATTTTATTTTTTCTCCAAAGTGACCAATCCTAAGAGGCCATTTTGGAGGGGGAGGAGAAGGAGAGTTGGCAATACGTGTTTAAAAATTTACCAAAATTGTTCCCAACTGAGATGATTTTCAAAGTTCTAATTTACCATACTCAGTGCTTTAACGCGTGCCCTGCCATCACGTCCATGCCAGGGCAGGCCTCCTGCACATTTGGTTTGAGGTCACAATTTAATATGGCAAAAGCTTTAATACTTTCCATGCTCCCAGCCATAAATAAGCTGAACCTGTGAGTATTTCTGCAAAACTGAACAAATCTGTATTTTACTTCATAGGAATTTGGGTAACTCCATTTGTCTTCAGCACTGCTAGCAGGAGGAAAAATAGTTTGCTAACTACAGCATGAATTGTGAATCCTGAGAGAATAGAGGTGTGAACATATTAATGCTAAAATACGGCGACTTCTTGAAAGCGATTGTTGAGAAGGAGAAGAAACAAGGTACAGGCTGTGCTGGAAGATGTAGAACAGACTTGTGTTTTGCGTGCTATATAAAGATTAATCTTCATACACCGACAGTTTTTGTCAGCAGAGCTGGTCTTTTTTTTTTTTTTTTTTTCTTTTGCTAATGTTAATGGAAATGTACTAGCACCATTTACCAGAGACATTTACAGCTGTTAAGATGGAGTGAAATGGAAAGAAGCTGTGAGAAGAAAAACCCAGGAGGTTTGGCACCTGCCTAGGGGACGGGAAGCACAGATTGAGAGGAGACTGTCCTCTTCAGGGTCATTGCAAACGTGGACAAATTCTGGTGTTTGGAGCAGTGGTAAATGTTGTAGGAGTGCTTCTTGTCTTTGTTGTTGTTTGTTGCTGTTTTCCAAGGGAAGGAGCACTTTAAACAGTACTTTAACTATCATTTAAGCAGAGGGTAGTGAGCCTGTCACATCTGCCTGGATCTTAATCCACTTCGGTGTGTTTGTATAGTAAGTAGGACAAAGAGCCTGGCAGCCTGATTTGCTTGTAGATACTGCTCTGTGCACTTAGCAAAAGTGCCAATATAGTGTGCAGATCTCTCATTTCTGCTTGCAAGCCAAGCAGCCTCCAAAGAGACCCACACAGATTATCTATCAACCCACTCACTGTAGTAAGTAGCACTTCAAAGTCCGAATATCATCATCCTGGTGCTATCTCTAGAAAGCAAGACAGAGAAAAGGAGTTCCTCTGTAATTTCAGTCCTACAAGAGCTCAGCTGAAGGATGTATCTTCCAGAGCAGCATCTTGCAGCCTATCAGAAGGATCCAACACCTGGTTTGGGACTGCACATTTTTCCAAGTTAGGGGAATAGTTGAGAGCCCAGGGGCAGGAGCTGTGTGAGGTGGTACAGAGACAAGTGAGAACAGCTTGTGTCCAGCTCCATCAGCAGCAACCCTCCTGCTGCACTGCTTCACAAGGCAGCAAGAATCAACTTTGTTGTAAACAGTGCTGAACATTAAGCCTGGATTTTTATTGTCCTGTTTTTAACAGCGATTCATCGTCCTTTTTTGAGGCACAAAATTGTTCGTTCTTTTTTCAGTTTTGCAGCTGTTCTTCATACTGCAGTCCACAAAGTTGTTGAGGTACCTTTGGTCATAAGTGGCAGAGAGCAGATGTCTTGGAGTGGTATATACACACTCTGATGGAAATCTCAAAGAGCAGTGATGAACAATGGCACTCTGACCATGGAAAGTACAGGCCTATGGGATAACTGAGGTTGGAAAGTACCACAGGAGTCTCCAGGCCAACCTCCTGATCTAAGCAGGTGAGCTGTGGAGTTGGAGTGGCCTCAGCATGTAAGCCTCTAGTCATAGGGCAAGCACTCCTCATCAGCTGGCTGTCTACCAGCAGACACATGGTGTTGGAGGAGCATTAACAGGGCCAATGGAGGGAAGGGGTTAATTCCTTCTGCTCATACATAGCCCTGCACTTCCAGCTCAGTAAATGGAAGGAATGTGATTAAATCGGCGTTGATACCAAGTCTGAGAACAGATGTGAGAGTGAATTGGCAGAGCTGGAATTCAGATGGGATGAAAATAGCAAAAGGGAGTGGGTGGAAACTGTCACACATTTGTGTTACAGGTGCTTGCTCTAGACCCCAGCATTTGCAGGCACTCCTGCACTCTTACCAGTCTCTATTATTCTGGTTTCTTTGAACAGCAGGACCTCTTTTCTTTAATGTTGATGCCCAGCATTTCAGGCCTCGTGTCTTCTCATCTGAAGGACAAAGTAGGCATTAACTTCCTTTTGGCTCCAAGTAGGCAATGAGGTATAAATATTGCCATTTTCCCTGCTTCTTTTACAAGACAACACATTCTCTCCCATTTATAGCTAAGGAAACTGAGGCATACGGTCCACGTGTTTAAAAATAACAAATAAATAAAAATAATAATTAAAAAATATAAAATAGAACCACCACGGGGTGTTCTTACTCCTTCACAGAAGCATCTGAAAGGCTGCACAAAGAGCCAGCCCCAGGTTTGTGCTGGGTTTGTGTAGTCTGTATTTCCCTTCGGAGCTGTCTCTCCTCCCAGTTGTTGCCCCTCACCTTCGATCTTGTTTGCTTGTTTTGTTTTGCTCTGGCTGTGACGTCTGTCTGGAATCACTGTAGCAGAGCAAAGGCTTAAACTCAGCCCAGGCTGTCCATTTATGGCATCAGAGACACACAAGTAGCTCAGCTGCAGGGATGTGGCAAGCTTTTTCCATCCGAGGGTGGGAAGGCTTGCAGGGCTCAGACGTAAGATGAAGCCTTCAAAGGCCCACCAGCCCGTGCAGAGGCCTGTGTCAGTCCTGCCACCACCCATTCCCTTGGTGGATTTTTGGGGATTTACGTGATCGCCCCAGAGCCCTCGTGGAACTTTTCCCACAGCTTTATGCAGGAGCAATATCAGCTGTAGTCAGCGAAAAGCAGAGCACTGCAAACACCGGCCTTGGCAGGGAAATGAGAGGGAACAGATCGTTAACCAAAAAAAAAAAAAAAAAAGTGATACTGCTTTTGTTTGTAACTCTTTAATCTCCCCAGCAGCCTGTTCTCCAAATAAGTTAGAGCTGGGATTTGCTGGTAATTACTTAAAAAGGAGAAGAGAGGGACGGACCTTCACTTTGCCTTTAATTCCACAGCTGGAGTATAGGGTGGAGTTGTTGCCTTTGTGTACCTCTAAAGCATCCCACCCAGGGCAGAAAAAATTCAGGTACAGAAAGAGCTGTGCTTCCACACCCTTCACAGGGATTGCTTTGGCACGTGTTGGTGAATACCAGTGTGCTGGTAGCTCCTGCTCGGGAGAAATAGGCAGAGACCTGTTCAGCCTTCCCAGCAAATATTACTGCAGCAGTGCTGTCAAGGTCACTGTCAGCCTGGGTTATCTGCTGTGTAAGTGCCAGCTGCACAAATCAGGCTTAGCTCAGGGCTATAACTCATACGCTCAGCGTTTTGTGGATTATGTCCTTTAGCTTTCCCTCATTGCTATTTTGTGTATTCATTTAGCTTCAGTTGCAATTTCTCTTTGGGGGTAATTTCCCTGTGTGGTACACTGTTTGTCTGCATATTCCTTAATCACAGGCATACAAAGTAGCTCTTTATGTGTAATTTCACATACAGCGCTTATTGGTATCTTTGAATGCAGATGGCTCACCTTTGGACAAAGCAGTACAAAAATACACGTTAGGGTGTTGGTCGGGGGCAGGGATCAATGGCAAAAAATATAAAACAAGCAAAAAATATTAAGAAAATTTCTATGTTAAGGCACACACGGCATAGTTGGGAAATCTCAGCTCATTTTTGGATTCTGACCCAAGCTGCTTCAGAAGTGCTCCGATTTCCAGGTGTCATCAGCTTTAGTTTATAAAAATAAAGATAATGGCATTTCCTACCTCCTGGGTTTTTTGAGATCATTTGAATTCCTGATTCTAAAAAGTGTTGTAAGAAAGTAGTATAAAGAACCGTGCTAGCATGCACATATGCTATCTTAGAAAATTAAAGACATTGATGAGAAGAGTCATGGTGAAGGGAACAAATGTTTCTGTCCAAGAAAACAATTATTCCATATAATCAAAACAGTGTCTAGATTGTGCAATAGACAGATGTGCTCCCTTCAGTTCTGGAATCTGAAGAACGTGTGCATGAGCTCATCCCAGTGGGATGGCTGGGCAGTCATTTCAGAATGGGCTGTTTAGATGCTCAGATTCATGTTGCAAGAAAAGGACAGTTTCTTCTGGGATGCTATGCTGAGAAATGTGTGGCTCATTCTGTAAGACTGTCAGCCAAGATATGATTTCTCTTCTTCTTAGTGCTGAAGGCTTTGTAATATATTAGCTTTTTTTATCTTTCAGTTGTCTGGTTCTCATTCATATTATTTCCAGCTAATGTTAGCTTTTGTCCTACAATACGGTAACAGTTTCTTTACATTCTTTACATGCCAGATGTTCAAGCACCTTCATCACTTTAGGAAGCTGTGTGTTTCCTTCCAGCTCTTCCATTCAGTCAAGCGTCTTGGCATAAGACTTCATCACTGCTTACTCCTCCTAAACTCCTTGAACACATTTAAGTGGCCTTGAAATAATCGCCTCTGCAGCACAGTGGGGTCTGCAGCAAATCTCCAGAATCTGCCAGCCTGAAACTTCTGATCCTGAAATGTGTAGCCTCCAGCCCAGTCTTCCACCTTGCAAACAGTTTGGCTCAGGACAAAAAAAAAAAAAAAAAAAAAAAAAAAAAAAAAGGGGCACTGTTGTTTATACAGTCTCCTTTTTTCATTCAATCCTGATCTGATCCTATGTATACATTAGAAGGAACAGTTTTTAAAAAGCGTTTCAGCCTTGGTTGCTGATTTATTATCAACCCCTGTCACCTGAATTTTCCCTTCTTGTCTCTTGCATCCTCCTCTAAAAGAAATCAGTAAATAAACTGAGAGAAAAATCAAAAACCAAAAAATAAAAAAGAAACAATCAGATATTACATATTCCTGACCACATGGAGAAGCTTGAAGTACCTGGGTCACTTAGGGGGCTGTTACACATTCACAGTTCAGCTCATATTACTGCCATCTAAACATGCAGGTCAGCCACGACAGTGCCCTGTGTTTAGAAGCAACACAGGTAGACTGAAGCATCCTTGTGTTTTTCTTAATGACTTGTCTGTCAGTAGGGGACAGGTGTTTTGGAACATTCTTTGGACTGAAAGTGGAATCTCGAGGAAAATTCAAATGATTTTAATTCTTTAGAAATGCATAAAATTATCCATTGCTTAATCAATTATTCACACACACATGCCTTCTCCCACCGAAGAGGCCGGATCAGACATCTACATTATTTGATGTAATTAAGTTGATTGTAAAAGAAATTGCAATTGATACGGAGTATCTCTGGGATTATTTGCCATATGTGGCACGCAGAAAAACAAACAGTACGTTATCTCTGAATTTTTATTTCAAGTATGTTACACACATTTACATGTAAAAATTGATTATAAGAAAGCAAATGTGATGTCAATTTACCATGGCCCAAGTAAATTCCATACCCCTTGCAACCATTCTTCTGGTCAGAAGCCCCTCAGATTTCATCAGTGTAGACATCTACCCCACTCAAGAGACACCGCTGAGTGATGCACGGTGCTTTCCTCCCATCATCACTTCAAAATTAGTCAAAGGATTATAGAAAGAGCCTCCTTGTCACAGCCTGAAATTCCAAACTGCATTGAATAATCCTAATGCTGCAGTGTTTAGCTTTCAAAGGGTTTTTGTTTGCTTGGCTGGCTTCTTTTTTAGGAGGTACTGATTGTATTCTCATGTGTTTGCAAATTCTCATTTCATGGCACGAATCTTCATATGGTGGTATAAACATCCACAGTCACTCTAGACTCTACTTGCTTCACCAGCAGCACTGTAAAGGTAGTCACTTAATTTCAACCTCCAAAGTAATTCTTGCCTTCTTCAGCCCAAAATGACAGGTCTTCTCACCCTTGCATCATGAGCCTGAATTCGGCTTCTCTCAAAGCCTTGTTTCACATAAACTACACGCTGTAAAGCTGGTGTTTGTTTGCTTCATCTTCTGTTCCTGCTTCTCCATGGCTGACTCAATACATCTGAAAGATGTAGATGGTCTGTTTCTCCCTTGGCCATTACTGCTGTAATTTGATCGATAGAGGCTTCATTTCGTATAGTTGGCTTTGTGTATTATAAACCACTAACAAAGTCATCTTTGCAAGTCCTTAAAATTGCATGCTGCTTCCCTCTTATTTTGCATGTGGCTGGGGGGTTGGAGATTCATGATCCTTGAGGTCCCTTCCAACCCTGGCCATTCTGTGATTCTGTGATTTTTCCTTCTTTAAAGTTAACAGTTGTATAGAAGCCTCTTATGGATGAACCTCTAGAAAATGTCTGATGGACCCACTATGCAAGTGCATCCCTACTTCTCTTGCAGAGATAGGATTCTTCTCAGTCCAGAAAGATTTTCAAAATATTTTCTTCCTTCCTACACTTCAGCTTATCTGTCAGTCTAATATTTAAAAACGAATGTTGATGTGATTCATCCAGGACAACAGCAGGAAGCTGGCTCTTCATCATACTGGTTAGTTCACTGACAAGCCTAACCTCCAGCCTTTGCACTGCCATGGTGCCCCTACTACCCGATCTACACATCACAAGAATACTCTGTCTGAACAAGAGGGCTGCATGGCGGAGTGAAAAATGTTGATACCAGCTTCTTAACAGCATTGTAACACAGTTGTGTAGCTGCAGCGGCATTTGTTAGCGACCTAGCACCAAGAAGTTACTGTAGTGCATAATGGTGCTTTTTGAAGGCTTGTCCAGAACAAGCACATCACTGACAGCTTACCCATAAAGTCGGGCAGTCCTGAAGCAGCCATATATCACCATTTCACCCTTCTTCATATCACTCCGCTATGTATCTCATGGCATGTGTTCACTGATGAGCCTACGGTGCCGTCAACAGTGCCAATTTAGACAGAACTTGAAGTAAGTCCACTTTTACACGTGCTGCCACCATTTAAAACCCGGAATGTTGTCATTTCACGTGTGCTGATGAGAGTGAGAGCGTGCTTTGAATCTCTTCTGTTTTTATCACTGGGAGACATGCTCTCTTTTCTTAGACACGTCTAGAATAGAAAAAAAGAAAAGAAAGGAAGACTTAAAATTGGAAGTTTTAGTGTACAGAACATTTTTGAAGTTCAAAAGTTTTGCTTTTTCTCCTTAACTCGTTGAATCTTTTGCATTTATTTGTCAACAGAACCATCCAGTATAAAAGAAAGGTATTGTTTCTTGCCCAGTCAATGAGCATTGTAGGTCAAAAAGCCACAAAGAGAAATCTCTATTTGGTTCATATTTTCACGCAAGGATGTTTTGCATCAAATGCATTTGTACTTGTCCTCAACACAGGCCAGTCTACAAAATATTTTCATCATGTTGTCAAGGTGAAGCCCCAGAACTGCCACCAATCTTAAACCTAATGTCACTTTTGAATTTAGTGGAGATTAGGCACAGAGAGGACAAGGCAACCTGTTAGAACTTAACAGACGTTTTAAATAACAAAGCTCCTTTGTGAAAACGGGGCAATATTAAACGTTGATGAAAGCTAGCTTGATACCTGAAACTGGACTCTCACCCAGGAATAAGATATGGGTTATCCCATCAAAATGGTTATCTTCTGATGTGGCTCTGCATTTTTTAACAGCACCAATAAAACTGGATTTTTTTTTATCTCTGGGAATAGGAAGTTTCTTTAGAGATCTGAAATTCTTTCAGGACACTGAGCAGAACAGAGGCATCTGTCTTTTCTGAGTGATATCCTTGCTTTCATACTTTCATGCTAACAAATTCCTACAAGATTTATCTTGTCAAACTTTAGTCTGAACAGCACAAATTACTGGCAAGATTGTCAATCTAAGAAAGAGACAGGCATAAATTTAATTGCTCCCTGAAGGTACATGAAAAGCTGCATTTAGCTGCAGCTAATTAGATATTCTCCAATCAACAGTTACGATTCATCTGCTGATGAACAAAACAATAAGGCAGATATGGAAATAGACAGCAAAAAGTTCGATTTGTCCTCCCAAAATGTTGGGGTTGTTTTCTCTTTGTTTTTAACAATGTTATCTGTAACTCTATCTCAAAGCATTCCCACAGGAAGGGGGAGGGAGGAACAAGCCCATTGTTTAGAGATGCTGCTGATCGAGGCTCACAATGACTCTTTAAGTCGAGAACTGCGAGTCGCCTGGGTTTTGTGCTTGGTTCACCACTATCACAAACAGGTCGTGAGTTTGCTTCTGTGAACGTGCTCTCTCCACTTTGTCCAGAGCTACCAGTCAGAATTGAGGGTAGAGATAAAACCTCTAGGAGAAGGAGTGGGTATTTGTGTTGCACTGCATTCTTGTAGTGTTTCTACACTGACTTTTCAGTACATTTGCCAAGCTGAGGCATTGCTGAACAATTAATGGTTGCCTTTGCTTATAACATTACTGTTTCAATTTCACATTAATTCTTTTCCAGAGATCTTAAACAGAAGTTTAAGAGCAAAGAGCTTGACAAAAATGCCCCTCAGGCATATGGCTATCACCACTTTTTTATGTTTTAGTGGCTTGTGGTAGCAAGGGTAATGGGAGGACAGTTGGACTAGATGATCTTGTAGGTCCTTTCCAACCTTGTGATTCTATGATTCTATGTTTCACTTTACAGGTATGAAAAATGAAGCAAAAAACAGGTAGACTTGAATTCACCTGTTGTTCTGTCCTGCAAAACAATGCTATAGGAGGGATCTGGAACCCAGAAGCCTGTGCCTCTCTGTCTGAGCACATTCTGCTTCCAACTACCAGACAAGGAGTACTGTTGCACTCTTAAATCTCAAACCAAAGAGCACTTGCACTTGGAGTAACTGGAAGCAGAAATGAGCAGCAGGGTGCAGGAAAATAACCGTCTGCTTTGAGTTAGCTCTGGATGGAGTGAAATGTTTTATCTCTTTGGGATTCCATCTGGTGTTCCTTGTGCACCTGAGTTTATGCCTGGCTTTGAAAAACACTATGTGGGTATTTAAAAGATTTGGTCATAAATTAAGTATATTGGCCAACTTCTGAACAGCTCTGTTAAGGTGGTGCAAGCAGAGAAAATGAACGGGGTATTTCTGGTAGTTTGGGTTGGTTGATTTCTTTATGACAAAGAGAATTACTCACACAAGTAAAGAAGATGAGCAACAAGTAAAAAATCCCAAGGCAAGTCAGCATGAAAAGCTCAGTTTTGTATTTTTTCAGTTTTTCATCTTCTATTCCAGGGCAACCTAAAATGTAAAATAAGGTGTTATGCTTTTGTGGTGCCCGTAAAATATTTTTAAACTGTTATCTTCATGAAATGCTAACAGAACATGATACCTGTTACTTTTAATGTGATGATGCCACTCAGGTTGTGGTCTCCCCTCTGTTCCCCCAAGGTGCACTTGTACGTGCCACTATCTTGGCTGGTGGCATTTCTGATCCTCAGCTGAAAGGTGTTGTTGGAGAGCTCCAGGGAGCCTCCCAGTCCTTTTGGATAATGAGATTCCACATCAAGGAATTTCCATGCTATTCTGTCACCAACTCCGGCCATCTGGAAAACACAAATACAAGCGTCATCCTAAATTCTAGAGGAGAGAGTTTGAAAGCTGGCTTATGGCTGAAAATAGAGGCTGAAAAGAGATGAGAAAGAAAAAAGCTCAAGGGTGAATAGTACATTCATGCTCACAATCAAAAAGGTTTTGACTATTTGTCTAAACAGACACAATATTGAAGAAAGTATAGCCTGCCCCTAGAAAGCACAGTGCCTCTCCGGGGGAGCAGCAGACCCCCCCCAACCTCCCCTCAACTCTCTGTTGAAAACAAAGAACACAAATTGCTTCGACTCATTTGGATTCACTTGCGTGAAGGTCACAAGCAGGTTTTTGGTGTGCTTTGGGAGCATTTGTATGTTGAATTTCTTAATTGTAACCAGAAGAGCTACATTCCTTGGCATTGCTGAGAGGCTACGGGAGGAATAAAGCGTATTCCCAGAACAGCTTGTATGGTGGAGCGATAAGATGCACTGAAAATGACAATTGGCTAGGAACCACAAAGAACAGAGGAACCCCTAACCTGATTTGAAAGATGGGAGAAGGGTTTGAATTAGTACATGTCCATTCCTATTCGTCGCTGTCTCCCTAGGATTCCAGGCACCGTGCCCTCTGTGAAGGTTTCCTGAGCAATCAAGGAATTTGGGCTTTCTATGGACCAGCAGAGCCAGAGCTGGCACACACAGTCCAGGGCTTAATTTTTCAGCCAAATCTATCACTGATATAAGCCAAAGCTTTTTTAGTGTTATTTTATTCTAATAGACATATTTTTGGGCCGCGTGTCAGTGCTTACATTCTATCAGCATAGCTACTGCATCAGAATGCAATGGTTACGCTGGAAGTTATTAAAATTAACACAGCTGAGGATAGGAGAATCTGGTTTCTCTTTCCTGTGTTTGCATGAAGAAAGGATCTGGAGAGAAATACAGGCCTGACGCTCTGTTGTACTTCTGTGTAAAATGGTGTAAAATAAGCTGCAAGTTGGGGAACTTTTCAGGAACTGGGGAAAAGCACAACATTTTCATTATTGTTATTATCCTTTCTCAGAAAGTGTTTTTTTGCTTTTTTTTTTTTTTTTTTTTTTTAGGGGGGTTCTCTAAGCACATAACTAAAACACAGAGCAGTAATTCCCTGGGACTTTCCACACTTTACCCAGTAAGAGAGAACAAAATACCTTCTTCCTCTTAATCCCCCCCGTAAATTTATCCTGGCTCCTCTTCCTTATTCCTAAGCAGTTCAGGGACAAGCAGTGCCTATGGTGGCTTTTAGGCTGTTGGGACTCACTTTATTACAGGGACGGTGATATCTACAGGCCCTGCATGCTGCCAGGACTGCAGCCAGAGCAATCTGAGTACACGGGATGGGTTCAGCTCTGGTTACACGTGGGTCAATAGCAGTTAAGTGGATAGAGTTGACCTCCCTCAAATCTCATTTTCACCACTTTCTCTTCCTTTGCCACCCCCTTTCTCAGTGAAATGCAAAACTACCCATAAGGCAATAAAGAGAATGAGCCTGTGTGCCCTATTTCATTTGTTTGTTGGCTGGGATTTGTTTTCTTGTTTGTTTGTTTTGTTTTCTTTGTTGTTGTTGTTGTTGTTTGCTTAAGAAAATAATAATTATCAATGATAGCATGAATAATTGTTGGCCAGGGTGGTAAATGGTACAGTGATACTTGTAGCTGTGGTCACACTTTGATCACTCTGTACGCGATTGTAATCACGGGAGAAGTCAACTAAGTCCATGTACCCTATGATTCAACTTTCTTATTTTAGAGGGGTCACTGAGCTTTCTTATTGCCTCCAGAGCTTATTGAGGTGCACAGTTTAAAGACAAATACTGTGACAGCATCCTGGGGACAGGCTGGCCAGAGGGACTCCTATGTAAAGCCAAGTAGAGCAAAGCCTGCAGAGCTGTATGAACTATGCCTTTGCTGCAGAATAAAAGACAGTTACGTGATGGCCTCATCAATTACCCGTGGACTCCCTCGCCAGGGCAGAAATCAGGAGAGCCCTGGATGAGGGGTCGCGACCCTTTGCCTTTGGGAAGGAGGAGAACGGTTCACGCGTGCGGCTGCAATTGTAAGATTGCGTGCTGCTCCTTCTCCATCAAATCTCTCCTTCCCTTGGAGCAGAGGCAGGCGAGAGTGGTGCTGCTCAGCGCTCGCAGCCTCCCTGCATTTCTGAGGCTACAGAGACACCTGGTGGCATTTCCCCAGCCCCTACAAGCATCCCTGTTCAGAGGTCACTGCAAGCCCGCCGATACCTGAACCAATGCAATCTCGGCTCTTGCCATCTCATCAAAACACGCCAAGCCCTCCCCGAGCAGTGAGGAAACACTTGAGCAAGTTACCACGGGAAAGCCCTATGCTCCATCATTTGAAAGGAAGCCCGAGAAGTGTTGTTCAACCTCTCACCAGATAGATCAGCGCACAGCTCAGGCACCTACAATCACCCAGCAGTAACCCATGCTGGCTCTCCTTCAGGTGATAGCACACCACAAGGTAAATGCCAGGGCTGCCACCTAATTAATTCCACACTAACGCTGTTAGTGTCAGCAATCCACTTGTGTAGGGTCTGTCTTTTTGAATCCATGACAAAATGCTTTCTGCATGTATTTCGCTTCCCTTCCAACTTGCTGGCTCCCCCTGCTTACACCTCTGGCAGGAGGAGAGGGAGTTGATCTTTTCCTGCTCCTATATTTGCTGTCAGTGCCTTTGCCAAAATGCAAGAGGGAAATCAAGAGTCATGCAGGGACCAATAGGAATGCTACTGATGGGCATTGAAAGGATCTCATCACCACGTTGGCTGCTAGAGACTACTGAAGTGCAGGTTTTGCTGGGAAGTGAGAACCTGCAGGCAGGCAGCATCACTCTGCTGCATAAAACCCCCCATCAAGAAAATTAAGCAGCAAAAGAAATGTAAGCCTGCTTGTTTGTTCTGTCAAGTACATCATAGGCAGTGGCCACGTTTTCAGAAGTCAGCTAGGGAAGTTAAATCCGTTGTTCCTCATCACCTCCAAAGCAATGAGAAGAAATAGAGTGGATGTGGAGTCTTCATCCTTTGAGATGTTTAAAACCCTAACTGGGCACAGCCCTGAGCAACTTTCTCTAGTCACCTTACTATGGTGAGTTTCAGTGAAAGTTATGCCAGTTCTCAAAAGCTTGGATACATTTGATGGAAAGAGGATATGATTTCCTCACATGTATTCTGTGGCTGATGCCCCATCCCTGGAGACTTTCAAGGTGAGGCTGAGCAACCTGATCTAACTGTCCCTGTAAATTGCAGAGGAGTTGGACTGGATGGCCTTCAAAGGTCCCATCCAAATGTAAGGATTCTCTGGTCAGTTGACTGATTGTTGTAAATTTCTCCTAGCCTGGAACTTACTGATAAGAGTAGTGAAAGTATAGATATTATGGGATATAAATATTTTCAGATTTGATTGAAAGTAATACTGAGCTGATAAATTTCTGGTTTCTGACTGGATGAACTACGACAAATAGGTAGAATAGCACCTCCAAAATTTCAGAGCTCTTTAGCAAATATTTCTTCTTCAGGGAGCTTAAAAATAAGGTGGGAGAGGGAGGAAGAGCCCTTCTCCTGTTCTGAGCAGGCTGTCTCTTAGCTGTAGTTTTGAAAACTGCTATAGCATTACACAGTTGTGTCACTAAACAGAAGCAGTTCACCCGTGCTGTAGTGCTTGCACCTAACTAATCAATTAAAGCTTAATTTTATCACGTATATGTGAGAGAAACCTGGTTTCAAGTCAACTCATATTCTCTGCTCTCATTAAATACCTTTTCTCATCACACCCTTCCCAGACTAAGGCGATACTTTGGCTCTTAGGTAAATCAAACTGCCAATACAATCCACTTTTCCCATAAAAGCGAATTTTTATTTGAAACAAAATGGTTCAGGTCCAAAACTGATGCCAGCTTAAAGGCGGAATGCGTTAACATAAATCTATTTTCTTTTTCTGAGGGTGGGATGATTGTAAAAATAGTTTTGTGTAAAATTTTACCACGAATGAAGACCGAGCTTAAACGTTTGACTGCTAAAGAAATCTAAATACTCTATATCCAGCCAGAAGGAATTTATTTTCTGAAGTAAAATATCTAGAATCCTGGCAATGCCTGACAGCCAGCATATAATGAATCACAACTGAGCTGAAACCACTGAATAGGTGCATTTTGCAGCACTAAAGCACTTTCACATTTGATTAGTGCTGAAGGTGCATTCATATGGTTCCTATATGGTGTTATATGGAGATACCACTGTTAAATTTGAGGAATAACACACACACACAAAAACCCTTACATAAACTGTGAGCAAATGTGACTGAACTCTGAGTGTGCTTTAGAAGAAAAACAAGCACCAAACAAAAAAACAACACAAACCACCAAGAACCCAAAGCAACAGCAAAGGAATCACACGTGTCACATTATCTGGGCCTGGTCAGAAAATTCCCTGACTCAGCCACAGAGCCTTTCTATATGTTAAGCTAAGGGCACAAAGCAGTAGCTCATGTCAAGCAAAATAATTGTTTTGGTCATGATCACAGCTCCCTTTCCATCTCAGTCATGAATGCATTGGAGCCACTTGGAGCTAGATAGATGTCTGAGCTTGACTGTGTTTCTTTGGGTATGTTACCAATCAGGCCGGAGTAATGTAGAAAATATTTCTGTATCTATGCTAATAGATAATAACTATGCACATTTAGCAGAAGCTATTTCCTTTGAAAGAAGGTGAAATTAATGTGATATATCTATATGATCTACTTTTATTTTACAATGCAACTTCCTCCTCTAATTTTGCCACAGTTTTATATTTTTCGGGGAAGTGTTATGAAGTGTTATTTCTCCACTGAGGTGCAGCCTTCCCTCTTCTTCCTCAAAATCTGTTTTAAATTAAGACTGTTCTGCTTGTCACTTGAACAACATAACTAAATAACCACTGGGACTTCATCTGGGTATGTTTTAACTTGATTTTCAGGCTGGATATAAAGTGATAGTTATGTGTTTTTAAGAAGTGGTTCTCATTTTCAGTGTACAAAGACAAACTGTTCAGTATTCAGTAGCAGTGTGAGGCAGAAAGGTAAGTGAAGTTTCATTACCCAGATTCTTATTTCATAGATGGGCCACTGAAACTCAAACCAGTCTTTCCATGGGCAATTGCCAGTGCCTGTGTGCTTATGCCCTGGTTATCAGTCCTCAGTTGGAAAGCATATGCGTTGCCCATGGTTTTATAGCACATGAGTTGCCCTGTGTCCCTAGGAGGGACCACCCTTAATGGGTACCACTGTTATGAATGCACGGAATTATTCCCGCACTCGATCCCATGTCTGCAAACAATCCAGAAGGAGATAAGGATACTTCTGGGCGTTGGACAGATGAAACACACATGCCTATTTGCAATCTGAGACATTAGCAAAAGCGTAGAAACTGATGAGTGCAGTGCTTCCTTTTTACTTTCAGTTGCACTTTGACACCAGAATATTAACTCCTTCAAGCTATTACTGCTTCACACACTACTGTAAAAGCAGGTACTTTTAAATAGCATAGCACTTCTTTTTTAAGCAGGTCATAGAAAACTACATAAAAGTATCCCTCATTTGGTCGAAGCATGCAGAAATGCCAGTGGGAAGAGGGGGGTTTTCACCATGAGTTCACCCTGTGCAAGCAGCTGCACGTGCAGCACTGTAACGCTGTCGCCATAATTTTTGAAAGCAGCAGAAGCAAAGGTTAATTGCTTGCATTTATTGCACAGTTCAAAGTGACCTCGCACAAAAGATCTAGCCTAACAGCTGCTTAAACTTTACAGTCTGAAATTTCATACCATTGGTCGGAATTACCTTTTAATTAGCCCTTTGAGGGTATATGTGGTGTTTATTGATTAATCCTTCAGCAGTTGTTTTTTAAATAACAGCTTAATTCTGCATTGGGCAGCCTAGTTACACCCCGCCGTTCCCCTGAGATCCTGAAGTTTAGGGTGGGGACTGCTGCACACAGACAATGAAGGGACACAAGCAGAGAGGACTGCAGAGCAGAGGGGCCCGGGAGGCACATTCCAAGGCTGGGTTTTGCCAGCTGGTAACTCTCCTTCTCTTCAAGATGAGACCCACTCAGCTAGCTCCAAAAGTGGAATAAGCATCATTTCCCCAGCACAAAATGGAGAGCAAATCACTTTCTCCTGTTGAGAGGCTTTTTTAGATTTGATGCTGTGCTTTCCTATTATGGCTAGGGCTGTGGCTTGGGTTAGCATCTCCAGGAGTGGCATTAAATTCCCATTCCTACTTTCCATCTCACTCCTGGGTGAATAACCAGAAGGACATAATAACGGTTGTATCAACCCCTATGGATGGCAGCCATTGCTGATTATTTGATTTTAACACTTGTAGTTCTTATGCCAGTGCCAGCAGAGCAAAAAAGCATGAGGTCCTATCATGTTTGACACTGAAAGGACTGCACTTCCTGAGCAAAACAGTTGAAACAAGATGAGGAGACCATAAGGGAGAGGAGATTGGTGGGGCAGGGCAGTGCCAGTGCCAGAGTGCTGCGAAGAGGTGGAACGCAGGTAAGGGCTGCCAAGGAGGAGGTATACACAGCAGGCATCATCAAATATCACCCCCCCTTGAACGTGCAATCTGTTTGTGCCCAGGTGGAGCTAAAAAAGCTATGTGACAACACAGAATTGGGCTTACAGGGTTTCACAGTGCTTTTGGCTTTTAGCTTCTGTTTGCTGTCTGTCCCTTCTAGCTGCCACTGGGCCCTGAAGGATGTGCTCAGTGTTGTGCTGCAATTCAGACGTGTTGGCAGGTTCAGCTGCAGAAGTCTGATTACACGATTTATTCATTTACTGTGGGGGAATAATTTTAAAACTATATCTGACCAAACTGCTGGGGAAGCCATGGCTGTGGCTTTATGTTCTGGCAGAGATAAACAAACAGTTCTTGTCCATCAAAAACAGGGGCACAGCATGACAAAACCCTCCTTTTGCCTGTTAAGCAGCACACAATATGAACTCAGTCTGTGTGCTAATATGTGAATACACAGCCCCTATAGAGCAAGTCAGTGGACACTTCTTCAAACAGAGGACAACTCTGTCTCTTTTTCTATGAGAAATAAAATTCACCACTGAAAGTGGTGAATAGTACCTTCTGCTCTTTAGCCAATGGATTCTTGTAGCGCTGCCACAGACAGGCAACAAGCAGGGTACTCCTGCTTTGGAGATGGCAAGTAAGTCAGGGCAGCCAAGATGTGACTTAGTTTTCCTCTACAGATGACTCAGAATTTCTTGTTGTCTGTCTGTATTCTGCATATCCTTCCCTTATGTTCACCTTAACTAGACAAGCCTTTCAAAGTAGTTGTGTCTGTTTGTTTAGCTCTTCTATTGCAAACTAAAAATCAGCTCCTTTCTGAGGAGAATTAACCAAGAGACAGCATCATGATGTTGTAAGGTTTTCTAAAGAAAATCCTGGAAAGTCTCCTCTTTGAAATGGTGTTTTGCAGCCTGCACAATCCCTAAATTCTGGTCCCTGCAGGCTAGGAATGGTTACATAGAAAAGCAGGCCAAGAGCAATGCAAGGGTCACATTCAAACAGTCTGTCTACAATGACACAGAAACCATCTGTTCCCCATGATCAGCTCAAATGCTGCCTTATCTCTGCTGCACTGACAGAAGGATGCCTTGTCACAAAAAAGCCCATTCTGTTCAAGAGAAGCCAGCATCAAGTAAGAAGGCAAAGCAGACTACTCAAGTTACTTAGGCTTTTTTTTCTTACTTTGTACCAAGACACTGCCTGGTAGGTGATCAAGGAATCTTGAAGAACTTTACAGGGCAGCAGAGCTTCTTCAGAGCATGTCACAGCAACATCTGGGACAGCCACAGCAGCTCCATCGATCAAGCTCCAAACTGCAAAGCACAGATATAAATTGCTTTTACAAGTGATCACCTACGTAATCCTTTCTGTTTTCCCAAAACACATCCCCACAAAATAAGTATTAAAAATAAATCAATTAATAAATAAATACAATAAAAATAAAATAAAACAAAATAATGAAAAATGTAAGGCTCTCTACATACCACTGCACAGGGTGATGAGCAGAGTACAGGCTGCTGAAGCCATGAGTATTGCTGCTTGAAATCACAGAGCAGCAGCACAGTGCCTCTTTGCTGGATGGACTGTGAGAGCAAAGTGAAACTGCTTCTGCTTCTAGAGTGATATTTCTGGACACAGACTGGGGAAACCCCCGGAGGTCTTACCTTGTGGTGCCCCACGTCACAGCGAAAATTCCTCTGTGTAGGAGCCTGTGCTCCTCCCATCAGATAGTTAGGTCACTCCCATTTCTCAACTGCCTGCACTGGTAGCGTCTCTCCTCCTTTATTCCTCTCCCCCTCTGCATTGATCTGAATAGAAATAAGGTTGACTGTGGGGTGCTGGGGTCAGCAAGAAGGGCATCAAGAATTGGCACTAAAAGAACCTCCTTTGTGACTGATGAAAGGATGGGGAAAAGGGTTTTCCAGCCTCCTGAAATCCCCTCTCAGCATTTTTTCTGCAAATTTAAAAGAGCAGTGGCTGTGTAAAGGCTGACCACAGGCGGTGGCATTTCCAAAACCACACCTGACATCTCAAGTCACAGCACTTGTAGAGCTCTGTGCCTCAGCTCAGCTAACCAGGAGCTTACAACACAGCTGAGCCTTACAAACAATACGCATGTATCTCCTCCCAGCATAGACACTCATGTTTTAGAAGCAGCATCACTTCCAGTGCATTCTGTCATCTTCAAAACAAGCAGGGGACAGCTCAAGTGACAGAATTCTACCAAATTACATACTGGAAAATTTCCTTATGAAAACAAATCAAGTCAACTCTCCTAGCAGAGGAACTGTTTGGACATCCCCTTTAGATAGCTGGAAAAAAAAAAAAAAAGGAAAAAAAAAAACCGAAGTCCTCTCCTCATGATCTGCAAGAGCTCTTTCCCCTTGGAGAATTTTTGAGGAAGTCTGAGGTTGATCACAGAAGCACTTACAAATCATGAAACTCTGAAAGCTGATGACACATTATTTTTGGAAACAAGTTCTGGCTGCTCTCTTTAGGCTACTGAGACCCAGATGGTGAGAAGTCGTTTAGGAGGCTTTTGGTTAAATTTCTTGGGTGGAGAGAGTATGGTCAGCCCTTTTTGAAGCCAGGTTCCAGGGAACCCTAAAGCCAAATCCCCTATAGAAAGCTTCATGAGGACAAGTCTGTTTGAAAAGTCCTCAGCCTGATAAAAGTCCATCTTATGCCAGTAAGCTCTGTGGGTGAGTAATGCTTTCAGAAACTCCAACATGATCTAAGACTGAAGTTAAGACAGCAGCTTCACAGGGGCCTCATTGTTGAAATAGCCTACTTATTTTTAAAGCTTCTGTCTTCATTGACCAACATGATAAATGTAACAGGCTCTGAGCTTTATTCTTCTGTGAGTGTTTTCCTGTTTGAAGGACTTCAATCCATTTCTTAGAAGACAAGTGAAAGTGAAATTTAAATTCCAGTGGGACTCTGTGGAGGGAGAGAAAATCCTGACCTGCCACTGCTTTCTCCTTCTTGAAGTAATGGAGTCGTTGAGAAGAAGACAGAAGTGAGGGTTGGGATGGTTTTGCTGAAGGAAATCTTAGAGAGAAAAGAGTTCCAGTTAATATGTTTCCCATCTGTTCTTCATGAGAATGATGGCTCTCCTGTCCACACGAGCCATTCACATCAACCTACCTCCAAGCAGGGCACTCAGCTTTCACCCAAGTGCCTCATTCCACGAGTCCTTCAGAGCTACGTATTCACCCTTCATAAATCAGTCAAAAGGCAAAAACTTTCTCTACCTTTCCTCCTATCACAGGAAAACCCATTCTGAGTAAACTAGAGCAAGCTGCCACCCCTGCTGTAGATCAGCCCACAGTAATCCTTCCCGAAATGACCTGACCAGATGCAGTTTAGAGGGGCTGTGGCATGCTTAAAGTCTGAGGTCATGGGTTTGCCCACACAGAAGTGCAGTAACAGGTAAGCATAAAAGGACAAGCTTTAGTTTGGTCTGGGAAATGTACATGCCATGCACATTTGCCAAGGGGAAGTTAAATTACATTCTTCCTGTTATTTAAAATATAGGAGTAAGATCTCTTAAAACACTGTTTTTCACTCCAGGACAGGCACAGCTTCAAGTGAAACAGCCCTTTTCCTCCAAAAGTATTTGCATGCTCAGCTGCCATTCCACAGAAAAGTATGCGAAGCTTGAGAGCGACACATGGAAAACAAAAACTGAAACTCCCTTTGCAGGGAGGAAGAGAAATCATTTAGATTCTAAACTTTCCCTGACTGGGATTTTTCTTTAGGGAAATTTTGAACTGGGCTGTACTTTCCATTCTAACTTTTAATAACTCACATGCTTTCAAAGAGCAAGCCCATGCTCTCCAGAGCCCTGGAAGAGCTCTGAGTTTCTGTCTTCTTGTGCTCAGTGGAAATGATGGGAGCTCAGCAGGACTGGTCTGGTTGCAGGAGTGAGGAGCAAAGTTTGTCCGTAGGGCTACTCTGTGAGAAACAAACACACATCTTTGCAGGGCCCCGAGGAGCAGCATGGTTGTGTAAGTGGAAGCTTACCGTAAAATATGTTCTCCTGGGGAACTAATGAGATCTGCATTCCTACAGAGGTGCCCTATTGCTTCTTTCTCTCCTTCCCATGCCATATCACCCGCTACACCAACAGTAAACCCTCAGCCTCACCGAGCAAGGAGCACCATTCACTTTGGTGAGCCCAGAGCCATGCACGTGATGACTGACATTAGCAAGCAGCATGAAAAGAGGCTGCATCCTGCCTACCTTTCCTTCAGCAGGGGCACTCCTCTGGGTCTCTGACCCAGCTGCTGATTTTCATGATTTTCATAGGCACTTAGTTCTCTTTGAGCCCTGATCCCTCTGTCAGTTTGATAGAAAGCAGGTTCAGAACATACTGGCTGACAGACAGCCAGATGGCATGATCACAGAGATTTCATTCTCTGCGGGAAATGAGGCTAGAAGCTCAAGGATGTGGGATGGATTCGTGGGATAAGGTTAAAAAGTTAAGATTCAATATTTTTTTCAGTTTTGAGTCTTGGGAGTGCTGTTTGCAGAATCAGATCCCTTTTCCTCAAATCAGATAGGCACTGGCACCCTTGGATAATTGGTCATGGGTTGATGTTATTTTTTATTCCAGTGTGTGGCTACAAAAGATATCTCAGATTCTTTCATATTTCATGCATTTACCCTTCAGTGCTAGTGTTTACCAGGAAGAGTGAAAGTTAAGTACGCTGGGTATTCCCTTCCTTCTTAAAGAAACAGTTTAAGTCTCCTCAAGGTGCCCAGAGTGCCATAATGAAGCACCAGAGGTTGAGATCCAGGTGTCAAAACAGCATTTAGCATTTCTGGCAAGGCACAGGTTGATCTGTATAAGATTTGATAATCAAAAACCCGTTGTTCCTCTGCATTTAGGTTCCCATTTTGAATACTTTTCATCCATGTGCCTCACCTCTGTTTGCATAGCTACCGAATGAGGGGGGCAATTTATTTTATTATTATTGATCTACAGGACAGAAATTAAAAAAATGTTGTTATCAATTCAACAGACAAAAACAGGAAGGCTTTGATTTTATGTTTCAGCAGACAACTGTTTATTTTAATAATACAGTGCATGTAATGTGAGATCCTAGGCACTGTCAGTCACAGGAACAATGACAGAAGAATCCAGAGCAACAAGTAAAGAACAGCAATGAACTCCGAGGGGCCCAGCAGAGCTGCAGTCACAGCGTTTACTTTTCTGTCATCCTGGGATCTTGACGCTCACCATGCCAACAATTAAAAGCAACTGAGGGTTTCCAGATTGAAGTTAATGAGAGGTACATAAATTACTCATAAACTGGAGTCAGAAAGGTTTAAGGACAAAGTTCTCTTCTCTGCCCGTTCATGGCAGGTGTTGATTCAGGCTTCGCTTTGCTGTTTAAAATTGGCAGTCCAACAATACTGAGAAACTAAACATTGAACCTGTGACCTGCTGTGTGTCTCAGGGCTTTGCACTGCAGGCTGTCCTCTGCTGCCAGTTGAATAAATAAGCCCAAATTAGTTATAAACAAATGGTCTGTCTTCTGAAATGCCCGGGCTTCGGAGTGCACAGTTTGAGGTATGTCAGCCTTGTTCATCAAAGAAGTGATTAAGCATACTCAGGTAGAAATTGAAATGTGCTACAGAATGCAGACACAAAATTGAAATATTCAAAATCAGAAGCCTCTTCAGAAGCTATTAGCCTAAGAGTTTAGGAATTGCCTTTAACAAAATGAGGGCAAAAACTTACCCTGTGTCTATATATGGAGCAAGGCTGTACTGAAGCTTCACCAAGTCCAGCATCTCATCTCCAACAGCCAGCAGAGAGCTACTGCATGGCCAAGCAGGCCAAGGTGCTGCATTCAGATTGCAGTGTCCACTGGAAGTGTACACTGAGATTTCTTCTTTGACAGATTCCTGGCTCTCTTTTATCATCAGTTTGCCAGATAGAGTCTCTGTCACCGGGACTAAGAACACTTTGGATGGAAGGTTTACAAATTTTAGTGAACCTTCCACTGCTCAGCTTCCACATGGGGTCATCCTTGCTGCCTGCTCCAGGAGGCAAGGAGCAGATTATCACCTACTGTCTCTAGTGAACCTCACAAGATGTTGTGGTGCAGTTCCCCCAGGCCCTCTGTGATTTCAGCCAAAGCCACTATTTCACTTTTGCCTTTGTTCAAATGCAGTGAGTTGGGATGACCAGGTACTCCCCCATCTTACCTAAAACTCCTCCATGAATCACGGCCTGATCTGAGTGGTACCAGAATTGTTGTAGGCAGAAAATTCCAGGATTGCCTCACCTGAATTGTGGCTAGAATTCAAAGTTTTCTGCCTAACATCAATTATCTTGATGTCCTATAAATAAGGGTTCTAAGTGAAGAGCTCCTTGAGCTCCCAATGACCACAGCAGGCTGTGACCCTTAATCTCTCCCTGACCTGTAATACCTCTCAGACTTCTTGAGGTTCACTGCTGATAGATGTCAAAGAAGAGGAGCCCTTTTGGGACAGATCCCGTCCTCTGATGAGAGCTCACGAAAGGGATGGTGAGTAATTCACTGGGGGAGAAGGTCCTCAAGTACACGACTGAATTTAGAAGCCTTCCTTCCGATTTCTGTGTATAGATTTTCAAGCAACCTTGCTGTTCTCAAAAATTGAACT